TAGTTGACTTAAACAAAGACAAAAATTGTTGATTAAAATGCAGACATGTAAGACGAACATTTATACTTACCATCACTTGTCACCAGAGTCAGGGAGGCAACTGCAACAAATACAAAGAACGAACATGTGAACACGTGTCTCAACGTAAGTAGTAGAAACAGTTCATCCCAGATGCTAAAAAGTTTGAGGTCATCTGAGCAAAAGGGGACAGCATAGAAAACTCCCTAAGCTGCGATAGCTCTATTCATGATACCACAAAGAATTCTGAGCTGATTTTTAACTTGTTAATATCTGATATTTTCTGAGCCTCTTTCACACCCGCTTAAACTGATCTGAGGCAAACTGATTAAATTTTTATGTGTGCGTGTGAGACATCAAAAAATACGTATGTGACGCGTGAATTTAACGGAGAGAAGAGCGAGATTCGTGAATTTATGAACAAGCGTGAGGCGTGATTTGTCTTCCGAAACTTACTAGAAAAGTAAGTAGTTGACTTAGGGATAACATTGATATAGATAAGAAATAGTAGAGCTCCTAATATGGATCCTTCAAGTACACCGGAGAAGACAGGATGGAAATCAGACTTAACGCCATTAACTTATAGAATTATTGTTACCTACTGCATACGTAAGATCTGAAAGAAGTGTTGGATTTGATGGTCAATTTTTTGATATTGAAGTCTCGAAACTCAGAGTTATCAATGTGAGCGGAAAAAGTATTTGTACAACCGTTTGAAAACATCTTGGTATAATCGTTGATATCTCAATTGTAAAACAAAATTCCAGTGTCGTAAATAACACCTTGTAAGAATCCGAGTACAGCGACCGAAATCATATGGTGTACCGTGGATGAAATTGTGTCGGTTTCGGATTTTACTGAATCTAGTATTATCAGGAATTTTTCGTATTCATGGCTCCTGGCGTAAAATAAAAACTAGGACATAAAACTCACCTGTTGGCAAAACTTCATACGTGAATCGCTATTTTTAATGAATGTGCAGTCAGGTGAAAATGTTGATATATACTTGCTGGCGTTGTCGTCATATTTTATCATCAATTGTTGATGTTAACTTCCTCTCGTGTCAGAAAGAACTTATTCATCGATTTAACGTTTTCTGTCTATTTGAGTGTAAGAATCAAATCTCCATTTGCGTGTGACGGTATAAAACGATTTGATATTCCTTGAAATAAAGTAGCCTAAGAATGCAAAGTACCTTTGTTCATGTCTAAACCTATTATGCGAACGATCTACTATCAGTTTGGGCATTAATTGACATTTAATTTGACTCGCATGGTTTGATTATTAGCGATTAGAAGTCGGCAGACAGAGCAAAATCAAGTTCAGAATAATAATTCAAACCTTTGGCCTGTAAAAGCAAACAGATGTGACTTCTAGATGCATTTGTTGTACGTATGATCAGTGAAGTGAAATTTGCGTATTAATAATTCGCATGAAAGAACCCTCACTCACCACAAAATGTAATCAAGATCCAGGTTGAAATCATGATGGTATTCAAACTTCTTGTTCTATTTTAACGAAGCTCGATCTTCTTCACGCTGAAGAATCGACGAGGTCGAAATCAACAAAGCGACATAAGTCAGTTGTGTTTCGTATTTAACCGCGGAAATATGGAAGCAAGCAGAAAGACAACAGACCGAATAAAGGCTAGTGTGACGTTGACGTCATTGA